TTAGGCTGGGGTATCACAGTAGTGAAGGTGGAACAGAGACAGAGCAGAAGAGGAAGAGATGGAGATGCCTGCAACTATCCTTTCATACCTGAGGGAAAGAAAGACAAACTAGCAAGAGAAAGACACAGGGGGAAAGGATATTTTTTTTAAAAAAAGAAAGTTAGAAAAGATAGAATATAAAGGACAGAGAGAGATTTAGCCTACCGTACTAATGCCTAAGGACCAGAAGGGGAGGGCCCAGGCTGGGTGCTTCACAGCAGTGGAGGTGGATCCAGGACATGGCAGCAGAGGCAGAGATGGAGATTCCTGTAACTATTCTGTCCTTACTAATGTCTATTGTCTAAAGTGGGGGTCCCAGGCTGGAGCTTCAGAGCACTGAAGGTGTACCCAAGATAGGGAATCAGTGGCAGAGATGGAAATGTCTGCAACTATTCTGTCCTTACTAATGCCTAGGGTTTGGAGGGGGTGGGTCTAGGCTGGGGTCTTCATAGCAGTGAAGGTGGACCCAGGAGATGACAGCAGAGGCAGAGATGGAAATGCCTACAACTATTCTGTCCTTACTAATGCCTAGGTTCTGGAAGAGGGTGGCCCAGGCTGGGGTCGTCACAGTGGTCAAAGTGGACCCAGGAAGTTCAGCAAGGCAGAGTTGGAGATGCCTGCAACTATTCTGTACTATATGAGGGAAGGAGATTCAAATTAGCAAGAGAAAAACACGGGGGTGGGGAACCTTTTTTTAAGAAGTTAGGAAAGATAGAAAATAGCAGGATAGAGAGCAATATTTCCTACCTTACTAATGCCTAGGGTCTGGAAGCAGGATTCCCATTCTGGTGGCTTCACAGCGGTAAATTTAGACCCAGGACAGAGCAGCAGAGGCAGATATGCCTGCACCTATTCTGTCCTTACTAATGCCTAGGGTCTGGAAAGGGGTCCCAGGTTGGCAGCTTAACAAGAGTGAAGGTGGGCTCAGGGTAGGAAAGCAGAGACAGAGGTGGAGATGCCTGCTACTACTATTCTGTCCTTACTAATACCTAGGGTCTGGAGAGGGGGGCAGCTAGGCTGGAGTCTTTACAGCAGTGGAGGTAGACTCAGGACAGTGCAGCAGAGGCAGAGATAGAGATACCTATAACTATTCTGTCTTTGCTAATCCTAGGTCTGGAAGTGATGAACCCAGAATGGGGGTTTCACAGCAGTGAATGTGGATCCAGGACAGAGCACCAGAGGCAAAGATAGAGATGTCTGCAATTAATCTGTCCTTACTAATGCATAGGGTCTGTAAGGGGTGGGCCTAGGCTGAGGGCTTCACAACAGTAAAGGTAGACCCAGGAAAGGCAGCAGAGGCAGAGATCAGGAGCTCTTGATTTCTTGTGTTAATGTCTTCCTCTCTAGAAGTTCTGATTGATTTTTGATGGTGTTTATCTCCTTCAAATCCTGGAAAAATATCCTCATTTCTATCACCATGAATATTCTGAACTATTTCTAACTTTCCTGATATTTCTTGTGCTATTCATGGTTTTAGAAAAAATTATATGTTGCATAGAAAAAGAGGGCATTTCCTTATTTTCCCATATTTCTTGTGTCATGATGATGGTTTCTAGTCATCTGATGGGTTATATACTTTTTTCACTTTTCTGATTTCAATTCTATATTATCGGGGGTGGTGGGGAGAAGAGCTCAACAACTCAGACTTGTTCTTGGTAGAAGGCCTTGACTTCTAATCTGAATAGTGTGCATATATATAGGTTTAGATAGTGATTTTTTTCCCAGTCTCTTGGGACCAGGTTCTCCCAGGGATGAGCTGGAGAGTTTCAACTAAGATAGGAGTCAGAAAACTATAAAGTCTCAAGATATTCCTGGTGGGTAAAAGGCAGAGGGCAGCAAGAGGTTTCAGGTGGCAGAGGCAGATATGCCTGCACCTATTCTGTCCTTACTAATGCCTAGGGTCTGGAAAGGGGTCCCAGGTTGGCAGCTTAACAAGAGTGAAGGTGGGCTCAGGGTAGGAAAGCAGAGACAGAGGTGGAGATGCCTGCTACTACTATTCTGTCCTTACTAATACCTAGGGTCTGGAGAGGGGGGCAGCTAGGCTGGAGTCTTTACAGCAGTGGAGGTAGACTCAGGACAGTGCAGCAGAGGCAGAGATAGAGATACCTATAACTATTCTGTCTTTGCTAATCCTAGGTCTGGAAGTGATGAACCCAGAATGGGGGTTTCACAGCAGTGAATGTGGATCCAGGACAGAGCACCAGAGGCAAAGATAGAGATGTCTGCAATTAATCTGTCCTTACTAATGCATAGGGTCTGTAAGGGGTGGGCCTAGGCTGAGGGCTTCACAACAGTAAAGGTAGACCCAGGAAAGGCAGCAGAGGCAGAGATCAGGAGCTCTTGATTTCTTGTGTTAATGTCTTCCTCTCTAGAAGTTCTGATTGATTTTTGATGGTGTTTATCTCCTTCAAATCCTGGAAAAATATCCTCATTTCTATCACCATGAATATTCTGAACTATTTCTAACTTTCCTGATATTTCTTGTGCTATTCATGGTTTTAGAAAAAATTATATGTTGCATAGAAAAAGAGGGCATTTCCTTATTTTCCCATATTTCTTGTGTCATGATGATGGTTTCTAGTCATCTGATGGGTTATATACTTTTTTCACTTTTCTGATTTCAATTCTATATTATCGGGGGTGGTGGGGAGAAGAGCTCAACAACTCAGACTTGTTCTTGGTAGAAGGCCTTGACTTCTAATCTGAATAGTGTGCATATATATAGGTTTAGATAGTGATTTTTTTCCCAGTCTCTTGGGACCAGGTTCTCCCAGGGATGAGCTGGAGAGTTTCAACTAAGATAGGAGTCAGAAAACTATAAAGTCTCAAGATATTCCTGGTGGGTAAAAGGCAGAGGGCAGCAAGAGGTTTCAGGTGGTCTTCCTTCTTCAGTTTCTCTCACTGATAGCCACTGATCCCTGATCCACAGCATAGGCTCCAAAAATAATAGCAATGAAGGGGTGTGAAAGGAGCCGGTTGAGATATACCTGAAAGAGTTGGAAGGCAGTGGGAAGTCTGATGTGGTCTCATGCTTCTGTTGGCCTCACTGAATGCTGCTGCTTCTTGATCTGCAGTGCAAGCTTGAGGGGTAATGGCAATCAAGGGGTATAGAAAGAGTCAATTAAGATGTACATGGGAACACATGTACAGTTGGAAGACTGAAGTATTCTCATGTCTCAGTTAACCTGACTGACTGCTGCTGTTCTCTGATCCACAGCACTGTCTCCAGGGATAATGGTGGTGAAGGGGTGTGGAAGGAGCTGATTGGGATGTACCTGGAGTGGTTGGAAGGCAGTGGGAAGCCTGAAGTAATCTCCTGCCTTAGTTGGCCTCACTGATTGCTACTGCTCTCTGATCTACAGTATAGGTTTTGGAAGTAATAGCAGTGAATGGATGTGGAAAGAGCATGTTGGAATTATCTGGGGAGGGTTGGAGGCAGTAGGAATCCTGAAGTGGTTGCCTGCTTCTGTGGGTGTCACCGACTGCCACTGCTCCCTGATCCAAAGCTCTGGCTGCAGAGGTAAAGTCTGTGAAGAGGTGAGAGAGGAGTTGGTTGGGATGTGTTTGGGAATGGGTTAAAGGTGTTGGAAAACATGAAGTGATGTCCTGACTCAGCTGCCCTCACCAACTGCTGCTGCTCCCTGATCCACATTGCAAGCTCCAGGTGTAATGATAGTGATAAAGTGTGGGATGAACCAGTTGAGATTTACCTGGGAGTTTTGGACATAGTGGAAAGCCTGAAGTGGTCTCCTGCCTCAGTTGGCTTCACTGACTTCCACTGCTCCCTGATCTGCAGCACAGGGTCCAGGGTTAAGGGGGTCATAATGGTGTGGGAAGAGTCATGGGATGTACCTGAGATGGTTAAAAAGCAGTGGGAAGCCTGAAGCAGTATCCTGCTTCAGTTGACCTCACTGACTACTGCTGCTGCCCTATTCACAGCCGAGACTGTGGGGATAATGACAGCAAAGGAGTGTTGGAAGAGCTTGTTGGGATGTACCTAAGATAGTTGGAAGGCAGTGGGAAGCCTGAATCTGTCTCCTGTCTTGATTGACCTCACTGAGTGCTGCTGTTCCCAGATCATCAGCAAAGTCTCCAGAAGAAATGGCAGTAAAGGGGTGTGGAAGGAACTTGTCTGGATGTACCTGGGGTGGTTGGAAGGCAGTGGGAAGCCTGAAGTGGTCTCCTTTTTCAGTGACCTCACTGATGGCCTGCTGCCCCCTGATCTGCAGCGCATGCTCTGGGGGTATTGGCAGCAAAGTGGTGTGGAAGGAACTGGCCGGGATGTACCTATAATGATTGAAAGCCAGTGGGAAGCCTGAAGCAGTTTCCTGCCTCTGGTGGCCTAACTGACTGCTGCTGCTGCCTGATCTGCAGCCCAGACTCTGGGAGTAATGGTGGTGAAAGGGTGTGGTAGGAGCCAGTCTTGATGTATCTGGTGCAGATGGAAGGCAGTGGGAAGCCTAAAGCCTTCTCCTGCCTCAGTTGACCTTATTGACCTGCTTTTTCTTTTTCCAAAATATCTAACTCACATTTCTCTTACATCACTTATATATGACTTGTATGTACTTATATTATTCTATCATTATAGTTAATAAGTTGGTATGCACTTCTTGGCCTATCTTACTCATCGTACTGCCACCTGGCTCAACATAGTGCTTATAGTAGATACTCAGGAACTGTTGATTTTAAATAATATGGTAAAATTATTGTGACTATTAAATGAAATAATCTTTATCATTTGACTGATACTGTCCCTGGTACTTACTGGTGCTCAGTGAAGTTTTTTGTTTGTTTGTTTGTTTGTTTGTTTGTTTGTTTTCTTTTTGTTTTTTCTTTTTTTTCCTGCCTAATTTTCCCCCCTAATACCATGTATTTTTTTTCTATGAGGAGAAAGTGGAGATTTCTTTCTTTCTTTACTCACATGTCTCTTCTTGCATATCTTATTTATTTATTTATTTTAGTTCACTGACCCTGTTCAGATTAGAGATACTCCTGAGACAGCAGACTGAAGATTAATATGACATCTCTCCCACTCCTGGATGCCAATCCCATGGAGAACCCAGCAATGTTTAATGACATCAAGATTGAACCCCCAGAAGAACTTCTGGCTAATGATTTCAACTTGCCCCAGGTGGAACCAGTCGACCTCTCCTTTCACAAGCCCAAGACTCCTCTCCAGCCTGCTAGCATGCTTCAGGCTCCAATATGTCCTCTGAAGGCACAGTCTGCTCCCCAGACCCTTGTGGTGTCCACTTCAACATCTGACACAAGCACTTCAGCAAACATCCCAACAGTTTTGACACCAGGCTCTATCCTGGCCTCCTCTCAGGGCACTGGTGGCCAGCAGATCTTACATGTGATTCATACCATCCCCTCAATCAGTCTGCAAAATAAAATGGGTGGTCTGAAAACCATCCCAGTGGTGGTACAGTCTCTTCCCATGATGTATACTACTTTGCCTGAAGATGGGGGCCCTGCAGCCATTACAGTCCCACTCATAGGAGGAGATGGCAAAAATGCCGGATCAGGTAAGCATAAATATTGCCTCTCACTTTCCTCCATCTGTTCCCTTTTTGGGTTGCTCTATCACCTGTATTTTTCCACTCCCTCAAATTAATCTCACATTGCTTCAAGAGTAATCTTTTATAAACACTGATTCAAATAGGTATGCATATCCTTGAGTGAAATATTATGCACCTTCCTGGAACTTTTATATTATTTGATTAGTAAATAATTTAAAGCATCTTATATTTTTAAATATGATATTGTTACTGGGGCCAGATGGTGACACAGTGGTAAAATGTGTGCTCTATGAGGCAGACCCACATGGGAAGGTTTTTATTCATGGCCAGAAATGTCCCTGAATATGTTGAGCACTTGTGTGCCTGTCATGTAGGAATGGGTGAGCTTAGAGTTTGATGGTGGCATTGAAACCCTGTTGAGGATGCCATCTCTCTGTCTGTCTGTCTCTCTCTCTCATTTTCATGTAAGTAATAAGTAAATAAACATATAGCTGTGTTATAGAGCAAAATACAAATTTTGAATAAACTTTTAAGATAAGACAGTAACTTGAAAAGTAATTTAAGCTTAATAATATACCCATCCTGGGACTTTCCAGGGGAATGTGTCTATTCTGTGCCATTAAGGATGCTTTGGTGGGAAAGCTGAGTACAATATTTCTTTCTATCCCTACCATACTTAGCTAAATTTAGCTCCTGCCTTACAATCTACCATCCTCTATTTTACACTTTTTACTTGTCTATGTTACAAGTATATGGACATTATTCCCAACCAAGTTGTAAAATCCTTAAGAATAAGACTCCCTGTTATTTATTTATTTATTTATTTATTTATTCATTTATTTTGAGAGATTTTTGCCATATGACGCATGCACTCACCAGACAGAGAGAGACAGAGAGACAGAAAGCGAGAAATCACCCCCCGGGGGGATGGCCACACCGCAATCCCTTCTCCTCCATTCTCCTCTCGGGATCCTGGGCACGCACGCACACGCGCCCGGCGTGAGTTTTAAGCCACTGGGTCCGGGACGCGAACCGCAGTCGACTATGTGGGAGTCCAGCGACATAGCTAACTGCTGGTCCCAAGACTCCCTGTTTTTCTTACTGTGCTAAATAGGAGTTATTTTGCAGCAAATAACTTGATAAACAAATGAAAAACTGGCAGGAGAGAATTCAAATAATGTAATTATTCATTATATTTAATATTTAAAATAAATTCAGAATATAGATTAAGTCTGCCTTCTACCACTATTAGTCAGCCACCTAGTTTCCCTCCTAGAGGTACACCTACTTTAGTGTGTATTTGGGAATGATCACAGAAAATTATGTGCCCCTGAACTGGTTCAATATATTTAACTTCACTATTTCTGTAGTACTACAATCAGTTTTGAGTATTGTGCTTTAAGAAGAACATTAATAAATTGGAGTATAATCAGAGGAGAGGGAAGATGGTGAGAGAATTACAACTCAAGTCAAATGAGGATCTGGGGATTTTCAGAACAGGATGGCCAACAGGAAGTACTCACCACTCATCTCCTCTGTAATGAAGGCATAAAACAATAATTACTCAGCTGCATTTCACCAGGAATTTCTAAGGAAGAACACTTGAAACCACCAAGGAAAGAGCTGAAGTTTTCTGAAATGTGAAAACTTAAGAGCTGGAGGCATCACTATCATATTTCAAATTATACTATAAAGTCATAGTAACAAAAGAAGCAATAAAGTCATTTTAACAAAAGAAGCAAGGTGTTGACAAAGAACAGACATACAGACAAATGGAACATGACAGAACTTAGAAATAAATCCACTTATCTACAACCAGTTGATTTTTGACAAAAGTCCCCTAAACATCCACTTAGT